GTAATATTTAGGAAGTCACTTCGTGAGGGCAGTGAACCACAGGACTGGAAAAAAGCAAACATCACTCCAATTTTTAAAAAAGGTCAAAAATACAATCCTGCAAACTACCGTCCAATCATTCTTACCTGCACAGCTTCTAAAATCATGGAGCATATTACATTATTATATTACATATTACTACAGTAACATAATGACCTATGCTAGCCGTCACAATATCCTCTACAGTCTCCAGCACGGTTTCCGCAGTAAAAGAACCTGTGAAACTCAGCTTCTGGAATTCATACATGACTTTGTTACCAACATGCAAGATGGGTACCAATCAGATGTATGCCTATTAGATTTTTCAAAAGCCTTTGACAAGGTCGGCCATCTTAGACTTGTTGAAAGGCTTCGTTGGTATGGAATCAATGGTCAAACTAACAATTGGATTAAAAACTTCCTCAGCGGCAGGACCCAATCAGTGTGATTGACGGTGTTTCCTCCAGCAGCGTTCCGGTTAGATCTGGTGTACCACAAGGCTCTGTCTTAGGACCATGTCTTTTCCTCTTCTTCATCAATAACATAGCAAAAAACCTAACATACTGTACACGTTTATTTGCTGATTATACCTTAATTTACATGACGGTGAGCAGCGAAGGGTACTCCAAGCTGATGCAGAAAGATCTAGATACTTTATCACTGTGGGAGAAAAACTGGATGATGGAATTCCACCCAAAAAAATGCCAAGTTATTAGTATCACAAGAAAGAAAAATATCACATATTATCCATGTACTCTCCACGGTCATCAACTTTCTCATGTAGATCATCCAAGTACCTAGGAATAACAATTACCAAAGATCTGAGATGGAACAAACACATAGACAGCACCACAGTCAAAGCAAACAATACACTAAATTTCCTCAGACGTAACATAAATATTAATAACCAAAAAGTAAAAGAACAAGCTTACAAGTCACTTGTCCGACCAATTTTGGAATACGGAAGTGTTGTTTGGGATCCCAACACAGACGTTCTTAAAAGAAAAATAGAAATGATTCAACGCCGTGCTGCTAGGTTCACCATTAACAGATATGAACGTACAGCTAGTGTCAATTCCATGATCCACGAACTATCATGGAAAACTCTAGCTGAAAGGCGCCAACTTTCAAGATTAGCAATGTTTTACAAAATCCACAATAATCTTGTTGCAATTGATAAGCAAATACTTAATCTCAAAAAATTATACAGCTCCATCTAGCACAGAAAACAGCCAGACGTATTCCTCACTCAAGTCGGGACTACAAGAAGATGTCATTCTTTCCTCGGACATCTAGGGAATGGAACATAATAGCAGAATCTACTGTCAAAGCACCAACTATTGAAGTTTTTAAGGGGGCCCTTGGCAAAAATTAATCTCACTCGCACCACCACATACCACCAAAGTGCTATAGCCTTCATAATTGAAGTTTGCACTAATCTGGAAGAAGATTCTTTTTCTGGTAGCTTGCACGCTATTCGTCTTCGCTTTCTGTCAATCATTCTACGTCCGCATTGAATGTACTTATTCTTGCTTTTCTGTGTATCTGTACCACCTGATGAAGGGCGATGCCCGAAAACGTTTTTGTGCTTTTACTATTAAAAGTTACGGCTCATCCATACTTTGCTTTATGCGTTTTATTACTAT